GAGTCTTAGAGCTCATGCATGTAAAAGTAATATGCATAAATGTGAAAATGATATATTAATCTAAATATCTAAATGTGAGCAAATAATAAACTAAATTAATCTAAATGTCTATTGATTTTATTATTAATTGTATATATTTTTTTGATTTTAAATAAAAGGTACTTAAATTAACATCAATAAACTAATTAAATATCAAACATATGAATAACACATAATAAAATTTTTCTTGACTTCAAATTCCCAATGGATACCAGTTGTAGCAATGGTTTGGACCGTCAAAAAAGAGATTTTAAAATTGAAAAAAAATGGGAGTCTCACCAATCTTTTTTAGGCGAGATTCCAAAAAAGTTTATCTTTTTAATAAAACTATAAAAGTGGATTTAAAGTTTATCAAAAAGATAAATTTTGATCTACGAAAAATCAGGTTAGGCTCGGGAGTCGATTACGGGTGAGGAAGGATTAGTACCCCCACAACGCCTAAAAATTGGTACCATTAAATCATGCACTTTTTTTGGTATTGGATGAAATCGTTTTGATTTAAAATTTAATAATAATCCCCTTTAAAAACATTTTTGTTAAAATTCTTTATTTAGAAATATTGAGAAAATCTTTAAGTTAAAGAATTATCTTAAAATTCTTTAACATTTAGGTAGAATTTATGATAACTCTCTTCCCTTAAAATTTAATACAATATTCATCAAAATAAAAATAATACTCTTTGTAAAAGATAATTGTTAGTGACTCTCCAACATCTAAGCAGAGTACTAAGAATTATTTCTTTCGTAATGTTATTTTTGTTTCATTTTATAATATCACAACTTTAAAAGATATATTTTTTGTTTTGTAAAATACTTTATATGATAAAGTAATTAATGGTATTATCAAGTAGCAAATAAAAATTAAAGACAGAGAAATGCAAAATGAATGCCAACAATTATATAATGATGGAAGCATGTATGCCAATGAATATTATGCAAGATGATAAAATGCAATTTTAAAAGATAAATTCTTAAATATAATAAGATCACCTTGACTCTCCAACATCTAGGCAGAGCTTAAGTGCGACTATTTATATTTAAGATCCTATTTTATTAGTAGACTTTTTTGTTTATTGATTTTAATCCTATGGTTAAAGTGAATTAAAAACTCATGAGAAAAAATTAATGGAATAAAATTTCTTTAAATACCTCATTATCTAGGCAGCATTCAAGAACAAATTATCCCATTGGAGATTTTCGCACTATCCTTAAAGTTTTGAAATGATTTTGAGCATATGTTTAGGTCGAGGTTTTAAGATTTGGTGTAAGCAATGATTTGAGATTTCGTACCAAATTTGGGGTTTTCAAAATTTTGAATTTTAAGGTTTCGATTTGAAGATTTGAGGTTTGGGATTTTAGTTTTAGGGTTTTGAGGGTTTAGGGTTTCAATTTCGAGGTTTAGAGGTTTTAGGGTTTAGTTTCGAGTTTGGAGGATTTAGGGTTTCAATTTTAAGATTTGAGATTTTAGGTTTCGATTTTAGGGTTTGATGCTTTAGGGTTTCGATTTTAAGATTTGAGGTTTGGGATTTCGATTTTAAGGTTTAAAGTTTTAGGATTTTTTTTAATTTAAAAAAAACGTGAACATCTCTAAAAATCTCTAATATCTAGGCAGATTTTTTAAACAAGTTCAATTTTTATGATTTTCAATTAATTAAAAAAACCTTTTTATGAAAATTTATTATTAATAATATTATTGATTTATTATTATTATTTTATAATAATAATTTCTCAACATCTAGGTAAAACTATCATTATTTAAAATATGATTGTATTCCTTCTAACATCTAGGCAGGGAAAAAATATTATTCAATTTTATAAGCATTTTTTAGATCATCATTATTATTATTATTAGCATTTTTAATATATTTTTTTAGTTATTATCCTATTTCTTTTCATTTTATTATTATTAAAAAAATCAAATATTTATTTTAACAAATTTAAAAAATTATCATGCATGAATATTAAAAATAAAATAACAAAAATAATAACATATAAAAAATTTAGAAATTTCAAAAAAACAATAAAAAAACTATTTGAACCGGACCGATCAACGTTGGTTTGGGTCACTCGACGGTTCAACGATTCTAACCAGTCCGAACTTGTTCATTAGCGGTTGGATACTGGTTCAACTAGATTGGTCTTAGGTGGTAAAAAGGATCGTAGATTAGGTTGCGCGGATCCCAGGTTGGATCCGGATTGACGTGTGGATCTTCCCCTGCCTAAACAACGTCATTTTGTGCTTTTGATCTTCTATATAAAATTATTTTTTTACTTCATTTCAAACCCATTTCAGAGAAAAAAAATTTTAAAGCTCCAGAGAGAGCTCCAGAGCTCTGCCACCGTCTGGCCTCCAGACCGCAGCGTCGACCACCACCTTAGGTTATCACTGGCAGTCGCTGCCAGTGGTCGCCGGTGGTTGAAAAATGCCAAAATGCCCAAAAAACTCTCCTTGATCCCTTTTTCCAAATATAGTGTCCTTTTACCGGAGACAGCCCCTATTGACATAGATCGAGGCTCAAAGTTTCAATCTTTCTTTTTTTTATATGTATATATATATATAACGAAACTGATGGTTGATTTTTTTTGCTTGTTTGTAGGGGCTTCGCCTTGAAGTTCCTCCCTACGGGGAGGACTGTGTGGTTTTTTTTTTTTGGGTTAGTTTTCTAGTTTTTCTTTTTGGTTGGTGCCTAGTTTATTGAATGTGGGAAAGCTGTGATTTCTAGGTGTGAAGCTGGATTTTTTTTTTTAGTGTGAGAACTTGTGTATTTTGGGTCTATCCAAGTCTGTGTTTGAAGGTTTAAAGGGGATGAAGATGGGTGCTTTATAAGGCTGAGTCTGTGTCCGAAATAATGGGTGATTTAGAGGGTGTAAGGGGTGGCTGTAGGAGCAGCTAGAGGTATGGCTAGGGTAGGTTGTAGGGGGTGGCTAGTTTGGGGCACATAATGGTGGTTAGGAGACTACAAGGGGGTTGGATGAAGGTGTTAGTGGTGCCATACACCAGTCCCCCTGCTTTCTGTTTTTTTTTTTTTAATTTTTTAATTTGTTTTTTGTTAATTAATTAATTATTTATTATAATTATTATTTAAAATTATTAGATTTTTAATATTAAAAATAGTGGGCTGGCTTAGGCCCAAAAAGAAAAAATTGGACATCGACCCAAATGGATTAAAAATTAGGTCTCGGCCCATGAATGTAATAAAACTCAAATGAATTTAAAATTCAGTTTCGATTTGAAAAATTCAAAAAATTCAGATAAAATTTGAAGTCTATAATTATTAAAATATTATTAAAGGATGAAGCATGGGAAAGCTTGGTTTTTGAATTGATTGAAACCAAGTGCTAGAAGCATTAAATTAAAAACGATTTCATGATTTTGCTATTTTGTTTTTTGTTTGGTTTCCAAGGGGAACCGAAAAATGTAAAATTCTGTTGGTGTGAAATCATTCTTTTATCATGCTATGTATTCTTAAATTTTAATTGATGTTATGTCTCTAAATTTGAGATGATAATAAGCCTTTTTTTTTTTTTGGCAGGAGATGATAATAAACTCTAAAATTTACAAATTGATTTTAAAATAACCGAAGGAATCTATCCCATCAAGATCCTTGATTAGTCCTTGTTCCACAAATGAAGTGATTTTTCAAGGTAAGTCAAGTCAACACCCGCCCTGTAAATAGATATCCAGGACCTCATAAAAATGCGTGAAACCACCCTAATGGCAGTAATTAGAACCGGTGCAAATGCCTGTGTTTGGAAACACGTTGACTTGAAAGGTAATGATAGGGAAAAGTCGGGTACCATCTTCAGCTGCCACAGGTGCCATTGGCAGGTTTGACGCAAAAGGGTGTAACAATTTAACATCTCGTGGATAATTGGCAATGACATGGTTGAAATCTGCAGTGGATTTGACAACCCTGAAAGTAACGAAATCACCGTTTTTATCATGGATATAAAGCTTGTCAAGTGATCGAGAGCACATGATATTGGGCTCGAAAGGAAAAAATAGATCGTTGAGTAGGAGAGAGAGTGTGTTTTAGCAATGGCAGAATGGTTTCCATGAAGTCCAAGGGAGGGCATGCGAATTGGTAGAATAAAAAGCGTTGTTTATTAGGAAAAGAAAACCATGGCAGATCAAAGAATGTGAGATGGCAAGAGGTTTTGGGAACTGAGCCTGGAGGCGGTGGAACGTGGCTATCATATATTCAAATTACGACAACGATATTATCATGATTATCGTAATTATATATATAACGAAGATTATTATAGTTATTAAGATCATTAATATTATGAATTTTTTTTAATTTTTTATAATTTATTATAAAATATAATAATTATAATCATAATAATAAAAATTAATACTTATAATTTTTAAAGTAATTTATGATATTTTAATTTTTATTTATAAAGTAAAATAATTTTTTTATGTTTTGTAGTTATAATTCAGAATGAAAATGCATATTATAAATATTTTTTTATTATACACATAAAATTCAAAAACATAAATATTATAAATACATATGATGAAAAAAATATATTTTATATAAAATTGATAAAGATTATAATTAATTTAATTAAAAAATTAGGGATGAATATTTTAGATATTTTTGTAATATATATTTATTGGGGGAAGATGATAACTATCTGTTGACTATGAATAAATATATTTTACTATTAGATCAAATTTTCAAGTGTAATATTTTAAATAATTAAATTAAATCAAAATAATATAATAATAACAAATTAATTTTTATTAACTAATAAAAATATACAATTAACAATAACATTAATAATATTAAAATTATTTTAAAAACTAATAATTACTTTAAAATGATGATAAATAAAAATAACAATGCTGCTACACAACCGCTATTTGAAACCGTTACACAACCCCAATTTCGGGTATGCTATCATGAACCTTCAATTGGTTGGCTTAAGCCATATTGTGGTCAGCCCAAGAAATTATACCCAAGCTCCTATATACATATATGGGGTCAATTCAGATAATGAAGCATATATAGGGAACATAAATAATTTGATGGACCAATGAAACCAAGCTGGTTCGATCTCAAATGAAACGAAAGCGTCATATTATTGGTTGAAACCATGAAGGTTCAACTATGAAATAGATTAACTACTGCTAATTAATTATCTTGATTCTCGGGGCTTCTTATGCTTTTATAATGGGAAATGAGCGAGCCACCTTTCAATCATGGCAAGGGCTTCGTTAGGTTTGTATTCTGGAGCAGTGTGACCCCCACCCTGTGCAACCACAAGAGATTGATGATGCAATCAATCTTTTGGTAGCATTTGAATGAAAATATAATTGGAATTTGGAAAGGTTGATTAGAGAATTCTTGCCTTAATAGTTGCGTATGTCAAAGAGTACTTCTCCTCCGCGTAATTCATATTGTATCTTCAAAAGAAAAGAACCAGAGTGGAGAATAGAAAAGTTTGAATATGATAGTAGCATGGGAAGATGGAGATAAAGAGTATAGAATGGATTTATCAAATAGAAACATACGTACCCTGCAACTTGACCATCAACCAACCATGGATACCAGTCAACCTGGACTGTCAAATTGAATGATTCTATCCATGCTATTGTGCCCAAATAAGGAATGACCATGTCATGATCGCCACTAGGATGGAAAGCAGAAAAAGGTTTGTTTAACTAGCTAGGAAATTAAAACTTAAAAGTCCTAGAAAATACCTGTGGTTCGACCAATTAAGAGACCATAGCTTGATCCTTAATCAATGGATGGTTTACAGGTATAGCAAACTATGAACTATGAAGAACAAAAGTTTAAATGGCATTACCTGTAAATGAGAGCTCGAAGCTGTTCCCTGGTCAGGTTTCGCTCATAATCAATACTAGTTGAGACATCATAGTCATAGGATAAGCTGCCATTGCATCTCAACCACTCCCCAATTGTTCCCTGCATAATTTGGTCAGCTGTGAAGATGCTTTGAAGAATTCACATGATATCAAAGACTGCAAGATTTGTTATAATTAAGTATTAAATAAACCTCTCGAATATGAAGAGCGCTTCTGACAGTTTTATCATTAGCCCAAACGTAGGAGTAGAGATAATGATAGTTCTGCAGACAAAGAAATTAGTTATATACACTTGGTCAATGGTCACTTTAATCTACATATGTATGGTACTGCAATCTAAAATAGATGGAAATCTGTCATTTACCCGGCACCACAGTTCAGCAGACTGAGGAGTGGACAGAAGAACAGCTAAAGAGCTGTCCCCAAGTGATCCGTGATCCCACTTTGCTCTTTTGGGTTTTGGAGACAATCTTTCACAATTCGGTTCCAGTATTTGTGCCTCATCTAAGTTTCCAAGGCACTAGCAAACATAAAACTTGAAATGCTCGATCAGTTTCGTGCGCATAAAACTTGGAAAATCAAAGAATGATCATATGAAAACCAATAGAATTTAGCCTGCTCACCTGAGTAACAGCTTGAAGATCAGACATGCAGGCTGTGTCGTTTGGATCTGGAGTTGTATATTCCCCCTTGCAGTTTCTTTTTGTTGACTTGAAATAGATTTATGTACATTGCATATTTTAGAATTGCACTATACAAGGAACTGAAATGAATTAATGATAAAGACTAAAAAGAAACTATTACCTTACCTCATATAGACTCTTTGATACGAGTGCCTTTCGATAAGCAAACAAAATCCTAGAGTTAAAGTCATAGTCTCTATCTGTGAAAGGGTTGCCTAGGATGTATCCCTGAGTCCAGTGAGAAAAAACATTATTTCAATCATGACTCGGAAAGTCAATCCGGGAAAGGAAAGTTAAGTTTTAGTTGCTATTAAATAGGAGATGTGTACTTGGAGATTCATTGGCGGCTGATGTCCAATATGAAGACCTGAAATAATAATTTAAAAAATGAAGATGAATCAACATCTCATGTTAAAACTGAAATGCTCTACGAAAGTTTCCATTTCTACATTTTCCTTCTATTTGTCTGCTGACAGGCAACAAATGGCTTCAAATAATATGAAACTCTTTTATGCAGCTTTCATTTTACCCAAAAAATGGAAGCTTGTTAAAGATATATAAAAATTAACTACTGAAAACATGAATTATACCATTTAACACTTCCTGAACGATGATTGGAACAGTTATACCGGAGTAAGAGTCACCAGAAATATAAAGTGGATTTGAGAGGAACTCTGGATGGACCATAAGCCACTGCACAATATATCAGTCAAAACAGAATTAAATCCTGCTATTTTGAACCCCCGGAACAAAATCCTAGCTTAAGTATGCTTGCATAAAGGAAAATGCAAACTCGGTCTCTTTAATAGTCAGTATTCTTTGTTTGTAACTCAAATGTGTAAATCAGTTGCCAAAAGTTTTCTCTGTCTTCCATTAATCCCTTTAACAGGTTGTGCTCACCTTCCTTAGAAATTCATAGGTTTGTGCTGCTGACGATGTATCACTAGTATTATATCCTTCTGCTTTTGTTGCATATGAGAATCCAGTACCAACTGGTTGATCCAGAAATATAATGTTGGCAACCTGTAGATTTGCTCTAATTGTCAATGAAACAAACGACTGCATAATTATCTTGAAAATAAACAACAAATGTAGCAGCTGGCTAAGATCTTAGAACCTTCGTCCATGAATACGGATTCAGCTTAAATGTTGGCTTGGTTCCTCTGGAATTATTATAGTTGAAAGTTAATGGACCTACAGATAGTCACAAAGATATCATCCGTACTTAAGCGTTTGGTTCGTGGTAGACGTTGACTATAAGGTAAAGACAGGCTGTTGTCTAAGATCTGACGAGCAAAAGGCAGAAGACATATCCATGTGTGAAGGATGAGAAACGTACCAATCTCATAAACAAGACCAGAGAATGCAGAGCAACCAGGGCCACCGGTGAGCCAAAGCAGAAGGGGGTCATCTCTTGGGTTCCTCTCAGACTCAATGAAGTAATAGAATAGTTGCACTGCATCCAACTTACCTACTCCAATGTACCTTAAATTGATCAATGCAAGAAACAGCTAGAATCAATAGTTTGACACTCACATTGGAATTATAAGGAGCAAAAAATGCAGCATAAACTGCAGAAGTTCTTCAATATAAACATACCCGGTTTCAAGTTTGAAGGGAAGATTACCAGAAAAGCCTGGTAAAGTCTGGATTATTGACTGTGACATGGAAACCTTGAAGATGATTACAAGTAAAAGTAGTCGAAGAAACATTCTGATCAAGTGCTTACAGAATATCTCGTGCTCTGCCTTTTGGCCGCACCAATTTTTTTAATTTGAGTTAGCTGGGGCTCTACCTCTTCTCCTCAAGGAACAGAGCTGCCAGTCAATGACAAAGACTGCCATGCTTATGTACAATTTCTGCTGCATTATGAGTTCTGATGAGCTAATACGTTAAGGAACTTGGTTGACGAACAGGACTTTGCCCACACATACCACGTGTCATTACCCCATTGGCTTTTTTGCTTTTTTTTTCGGTTTTTTAACTTTTAAGAGTGGACGTACGGCTGCCATGCTTTTCTAAACCATGTCACATGTCTTCATCCCATTGGGTCATGTTTTTTTCTTTAAAAAAAAATAATAAATTTTTTAAAAATTATAAAACTATATATATTTATAAGTATTATATTTTAATGTGTGAGACTCGTTATTCAAAACTTTTTTTTTTTACTTTTTTTCTTGTTTATTTTTTGAGCTTTACTTTTTTTTCTTTACTTTTCTTTAAAATTATTAAATAAATACTTTTAAAAACTATAAAATTATATATATATATATTTGGATTTTTTTTGTTTGAGATGTACTATATCAAAAAATTTTTATTATAACTATTAAAATACTTTTCATATTTTATTTGACTAAAATCAATATTCTTTAATTATAATATAAAAAATATTTTTTTGATTGCTTCGCCTAATACATTCTAAGTATAATTACAATAAATTTTTATTATTATAAAACACTCTAAGTATAATTACAAATATATATTTTTTATTATTTAATAATTACTCATTAAATTTTAACATCCATACAATAATATTAAATCAATGGATTTCAAAATGATTATAATGTTCTTTTAATTACTTAATAATTGAATTACATATATCTAAATTGCCTCTTTTTTATGATTAATTAAAATTAATATAATATACCTTTTTAACATAATTACTAAAGTATCTTTCTTAATATATTTGGCCAAAGTTATTATAATATCTCTATAACCATAATTAAAAAATACTATCCAACCATCATTTGCCAAAATGAATACAATGCTCTTCCTAACATAATTACAAAAAAGAACCTCATATTATATTTTGTTGAAATTTTTATGATACTTATTTACCATAATTACGAAAATATCTTCTTACACTAATTACGAAAATAACCTTATATTATAATAAGCTAAAATTACTATAATATCTTTTAATCATAATTACAAAAGCAAAAAAAAAAACTCTTTTGATTGTTCATATATCGCCTTTTGTACCATAATTATAACATATTCCTCATATTATAATTGACCATTAATACTCTTTAAGCATAATTACAAAAATATTTTTTTTATTTTTGCATAATTACTCATTAAATTTTAAAATCTATAAAATAATATGAAATTAATCTCATTAGAAATAGTCATAAACCTTCTTAATTACTTGACAATTGAATTAAATACATTCAAATTAACTATAATGCCCCTCTTTCTATGAAAAATTAAAATTATTATAATATCCTTTTTAACTTCATTAATAAAATACTCATCTTACCATAATTGTCCAAATTACTATAATACCTTTACAACCATTATTACAAAAATGTCTTTCCACCATCATATGCCAAAATTATTATAATGTCCTTTTTATCATAATTACGCAAATATCTCACATATTATGATTTGTTAAAATTTTTATAATACCTTCTAATTGTAATTATATGTATGCCCTCTCACCATAATTATGCAAAATACCCCTTATATTATAATTGGTTCAAATTATTATAATACACTCTAATCATAATTACAAAAAAATTACCCATTTGATTAATTTGTATAATGCTTTTTCTACCATAATTATGAAAATAACCTTCATTATAATTAGTCAAAATTAATATAATATCCCTTTTAACATAATTACTAAAATATCTCTTTTAACATAATTGGCCAAAGTTATTATAATACCTCTATAACCATAATTACAAAAATACTATCCAACCATCTTTTGCCAAAATGAATATAATGCTCTTCCTAACATAATTACAAAAAAAAAAAACCTCATATTATATTTTTTTGAAATTGTTATAATACTTTTTTACCATAATTACGAAAATATCTTCTTACAATAATTACGAAAATAACCTTATATTATAATAAGCAAAAATTACTATAATATCCTCTAATCATAATTACAAAAAAAAAAAAAAAACTCTTTTGATTGCTTCATATATTGCCTCTCATACCATAATTATAAAAATATTCCTCATATTATAATTGACCATTAATACTCTCTAAGCATAATTACGAAAATACTTTTTTATTTTTGCAAAATTACTCATTAAATTTTAAAATCCATAAAAAATATGAAATTAATCTCATTAGAAATAGTCATAAACCTTTTTAATTACTTGATAATTGAATTAAATACATTCAAATTGACTATAATGTCCCTCTTTCTATGAGAAATTAAAATTACAATAATATCCCTTTTAACTTAATTAATAAAATACTCATCTTACCATAATTGTCTAAATTACTATAATACCTTTACAACCATTATTACAAAAATGTCTTTCTACCATCATATACTAAAATTATTATAATGCCCCTTCTATCATAATTATGCAAATATCTCACATATTATGATTTGCTAAAATTTTTATAATACCTTTTAATCGTAATTACATGTATGGCCTCTCACCATAATTACGCAAAATACCCCTTATATTATAATTGGCTTAAATTACTATAATACACTCTAACCATAATTACAAAAAATTACCCATTTGATTAATTTGTATAATGCTTTTTCTACCATAATTATGAAAATAACCTTCATTATAATTGGTCAAAATTAATATAATATCCCTTTTAACATAATTACTAAAGTATCTCTCTTAACATAATTGGCCAAAGTTATTATAATACCTCTATACCATAATTACAAAAATATTATCCAACCATCATTTGCCAAAATGAATATAATGCTCTTCCTAACATAATTACAAAAAAAAAAAAAAAACCTCATTATATTTTGTTGAAATTGTTAAAATACTTTTTTACCATAATTACGAAAATATCTTCTTACAATAATTATGAAAATAACCTTATATTATAATAAGCTAAATTTACTATAATATCTTCTAATCATAATTACAAAAACAAAAAAAAACAAAAAACTCTTTTGATTGCTTCATATAATGCCTCTTGTACCATAATTATAAAAATATTCCTCATATTATAATTGACCATTAATACTCTCTAAACATAATTACGAAAATATTTTTTTTATTTTTGCATAATTACTCATTAAATTTTAAAATCCATAAAATAATATGAAATTAATCTTATTAGAAATAGTCATAAACCTTCTTAATTACTTGACAATTAAAGTAAATACATTTAAATTGATTATAATGCCCTTCTTTCTATGAGAAATTAAAATTACTATAATATCCTTTTTAACTTAATTAATAAAATATTCATCTTACCATAATTGTCCAAATTACTATAATACATTTACAACCATTATTACGAAAATGTCTTTCTACCATCATATGCTAAAATTATTATAATGCCCATTCCATCACAATTACACAAATATCTCACATATTATGATTTGTAAAATTTTTATAATACCTTCTAATCATAATTACATGTATGCCGTCTCACCATAATTACGCAAAATACCCCTTATATTATAATTGGCTCAAATTACTATAATATACTCTAACCATAATTACAAAAAATTATCCTTTAGACTAATTTGTATAATGCTTTTTCTACCATAATTATGAAAATAACCTTCATTATAATTGGTCAAAATTACTATAATGCATTCTAAGCATAATTACGAAAATAACCTTTTAATTGTTTTATAATTACTCATTAAATTTTAACATTCATAAAATAATATAAAATTAATTCCATTAAAAATGATCGTTATGCCTTTTTAATTATTTGACAATTGAATTATATGCATTCAAATTGATTACAATATCTTTTTTTTATGAGTAACTATATTACTAAAATATTATTGAAAGATGAAGCATGGGAAAGCTTGGTTTTTGAATAGATTGAAACCAAGTGTCAGAAGCATTAAATTAAGCACGGTTTCTTGATTTTGCTATATATTTTGTTTTTTGTTTGGATTCCAAATGGAACCGGCAAATGTAAAATTCTATTGGTGTGAAATCATTCTTTTATCATGCTATATACTTTTGCGTTTCAATTGATGTTATGTCTTTAAATTGAGATGATAATAACTCTTTATTTTTTTTTTTAAGAGATTATAATGAACTCTAAAATTTATAAATTGATTTTAATATAATCGAAGGACTCTATCTCATCAGCATCCTTGATCACATTCTTGTTCTATAAAAGAAGTGATTTTTCAAGACAAGTCAAGTCACCACCCGCCCTGTAAATAGATGTCTAAGATCTCATCAAATACATGAAACCACATATTATGGGCCTATAATGGTCAAAAGGGCATGTAGTCTTTTTTTCTCTCAAAGCCTTCACCAGATAATCAAAGATATCTTGGTTATTTGTGCTAGCCTGATATATTAGATCGATCTGACATGGTCAGTGCCACCTCAATTCAGCCTTGTCTTAATTGTCTCTTTTTTGTCTCCCTCAGCTTACCTATAAATATAAAGACTTAGGCACCATGAAGCTAAATTCATCACATTCTTTTCTTTTTCTCTTTCATACTTTTTTTACTTCTTTTTCGATCTGATCCTTACTGACTTGTGCGTCATAGTGTAAAAGCAGGGAACACCTCCTACCTTTGCCTCTAAACGTCCTTCTCTTCTGCACTTACAAGAACACCTTTAGGTTAGAACTTGGCACCAACATTTGGCGCGCAAAGTAAATGATAACATTTTCATATTAGCCGAGCACAAAACAATGCCACCAAGAAAAAAAAACTAAGAAGAAAGAAGGCAATCGCCTCGACTAGAACAAAAACTTACCAAAGCTAGGATTTTATCCACCTAGCTCAACCATAGGTAGGACCGACTATGGAGTAATTTTAAGCCCTGACTAAGCAAATACAAGCTTTCAATAAGATACTGTAAACTATAACTCCCACCAAAAGTTTTTAAAGTGCCAAACTTACTCACACTAGGCCAAAAAACTATTGTCAAGCAACCGAGCTACAAAGAGGCAGAAGCCTCATCG